TAGGCGGCGGCCACGGCTCCTCCGGAGCCTAGGCTCCCCGGCGCCCGGGGTCTTCCGACTCCCGCGGGAGAAAGGAAGGGTCTGGCCGCCCTCCCAGGTCCACGTCTCCCTTGGCGTCGGGGATACTAATGCCAGCGCTGGACACCCGGATCCGCGTGAGCACCCTGGGGTCAGCTGGAAAGAGAATGGAGGTGTGAAGCTTTCTTACTGGACAACCCTGTTCCTGGTTCCCTGGCCGAAAGCACTAAATTCCCCCCCACTTCTTTGGATTGTCAAATCAGGCTCTGAGGCCAGCAAGCTGGGGCGACTAGCTGTGCGACAGAGCACGACCACTTAGGCCTTTGCAGGTGCTGAGGCTGAGCTCAAACAGTGGTGGCAGGAGCAGAAAGAGGCATGTGGGGGTGCCTAGCACCGTGGCGGGAGAAAGGAGGAGAAGTTTAGGAAATGGGGGCCTGTCACCCCTCGCCTTGCCGGGTGCATTTCCCTGCAGGGTCACTGACCTCCAGGCAGTGGTCAGATGACTGCCCTGTGGACCACAGAGGGGGGCTCAGGGCAAAGGAATTTTCCACCGACCTGGCTCTGAGCCAGAGAAAATCCACTTTTCCTGGATGGTGTTTATCAAGACAGAAGAACAAGAACAGGGCCACATAGGAGGGAACCAATATTCTTGTCCTTCCCAAAAGAAATCCCAGTTCTGAGAGGGGATGTCAGCTTCTCCAACAAATATTTTTTTTAAAAGGCCTTTATAAGTTTTGGACCCATTTCAAGACATTTTTTCCCTTTGTGTACATTTATTTTGAGGTGTTAATGATTGAACCCAGGCCCTCATGAATGAACTATATATCCCAACCACTGCCCGCTCAGTTTTAACTGTAACACAGCAACTTGTACACTTTTAACATTTAAAACTGAGCATCACCCTCCCTTTCAAGTGAAACCAAAGAAAATTTAAAAATAAACAGGAACAAGGGGCTGGGGATATAGCTCAGTTGGTAGAGTGCTTGCCTCACATGCCCAAGGCCCTTGGTTCAATCCCCAGCACAATAAATAAATAAATAAACAAACAAATAAATAAATAAACAAACAAACAGGAACAAGATTACACTAGGGAATTTCACATCTAAATAAGATCGTACTATGTAATCTCAGCTACTCAGGAGGCTGAGGTAGGAGGATAGCAAGTTGGAGTTCAGCCTCAGAAATTTAGTGAGACTGTCTCACGATAAATAAAGAATGGGAATGTATCTCAAGTGGCAAAACAGTCCCAGTACTGGGTGGGGCAGGGAACATTCTACAGGTTGATTTTTCCATCAAGTGGCAAGACTTAAGTGCTCATGGGGAGAGAGGGTTTTTGTTTTTGTTTTTATTTGCAGCATTGAAGATTGAACCCATAACAACCCATTTAGCTACATCCTCATTGAGCAACATCCTCGACCTATCTATCTATCTAACTATTTATTTTCATGGTAGTGGAGATTAATCATAGATGGGCTTTACCGCTGACACCACTGAGTCCTTTTTATTTTTTATTTGGAGACAAGGTTTGACTAAGTTGCCTGGCTTGGCTTGGAACTTGTAATCCTCCTGTTTTATCCCCGCAGGGTTGCTGGGATTATGGACATGCGCCACCACCTAGGGCCTGAAAGAGTCATTTTATACTACAAGTATGTCCACCAAAATGACAACTGACTGACCCTGCCAAAGGAGAAGCCATGTCATCCAGATGCCTTCTAACCCACTTAAACATCAAGAATAGTTTTTTGGCACTGGGATTAAAATGGCCTGGTGCCTACTAAGCACACACTCTACCACTGAGCTGTACATCTAACATGAGACGCTTTAATAAATTCAAATTTACACAGTCGGGGCGCGGTGGCCAAGTCTATAATCCTAGCAGCTCAGGAGGCTGAGACAAGAGGATTGAGAGTTCAAAGCCAGCCTCAGCAATGGCAAGGCATTCAACTAACTCAGTGAGACCTGACTCTAAATAAAATACAAAATAGGGCTGGGGATGTGGCTCAGTGGTTGAGTGCCACTGAGTTTAATACCCGATACCAATCAATCAATCAATAAGTTCAAATTTATAATGTAGTCCCCATTGAATTATAAGGCTACTGGATTATCCAGACATGAACTTTGGTGGCCAGGTCATCCTACTTCTGCAGAGATTGTGGCTGCCTACTTCACTATCCTTAGGAAGCCTGAAGCATGGCCAGGTGGAGATGGTTAGAATCCTTTTTTGTTTTTAAAGAGAGAATTTTTTTTAATATTTATTTTTTAGTTTTCGGCGGACACAACATCTTTGTTTGTATGTGGTGCTGGGGATCGAACTCGGGCCGTACGCATGCCAGGCGAGCATGCTACCGCTTGAGCCACATCCCCAGCCCTGGTTAGAATCCTTAATCTCCACACTGCTGCTTTCCAATACAGCAGTAGCCACCAACTACATGTGGCTGTTGAACATCTGCAATGTGGCCAGTCTAAATTAAGGTGTATTGTAAGTGTAAAATATGCACCGGATTTCAAAGGCTTAGTATGAAAAAAAAAGAATGTAAACCTCAATAATTTATATACTGATTGGCCTATTGAAATGTTTTGGATATAATGAATTAAATAAAAGATAATAAAATAAATTTCACCTGTTTCTTTTCTTTGGTACTGGGCACTGAATCCAGGGGTGCTCTAACTCTGTGCTATACTTCCAGCCCCTTTGTTAATTTTATTTTGAGACAGGGTCTTGCTCAATTGCCTAGGTTGGCCTAGAACCTGCAATCCTCCTGCCTTAGCCTCCTCAGTCATTGGGATTATAGGAGTGTACCCCTGAGCCCAGCTTTTACTTTTTAATTTGGCTTGTAGAAATGTTTAAATTACATGAATAGTAAAAAAAAATATTACTTGTTTATTCTTAGTTTATTCATTTATTTTTTGCTACTGGATATTGAACCCAGGAGCACTTGACCACTGAGTCACATCCCCAGCCCTATTTTGTATTTTTATTTAGAGACAGGATCTCACTGAGTTGCTTCACCTTGCTTTTGCTGAGGCTGGTTTTAAACTCTTGATCCTCCTGTCTCAGCCTCCCAAGCTGCTGGGATTATAGGCATGTGCCACTGCACCCAGCAAAAAAATTTATTTATTTATTTTTACCATACTGGATGGGGATTGAACCCAGGGTCTCTCAAATACTAGGCAAGCTATGTTCTCTAATAAAATATTTAAAGTTATACATTATATTGTAGTTCTAATCATATTTCTATTGGACATGCTGATCTATGATTAGTATTTACTCGGCCATAGACAAACTTGTATAATAACTCTAAGCCTCAGATACCTCATCATCTGTGCCTGATGCTTAAAAAAAAAAAAAAAAAAAAAAAACAATATAGTAGATGTTGGCTATTGTGGTTATTATTAAGAATTCCATAATTCCAGAGACTTGGGAGGCTGAAGCAGGAGTATTACCAGTTTGAGGCCAGCCTGGGTAACTTAGCAAGACCCTATCTCAAAACAGAATAGAAAAGGTTGGGAGGGGCTGGGATTGTGGCTCAGTGATAGAGCGCTGGCTTAGCACGGGCAGGACCTGGGTTCCATCCTCGCACCACATAAAAATAAAGTCATTGTGTTGTGTCCATCTACATCTAAAAAATAAATATTAAAAAGAGATAAAAGGTTGGGGATGTAACTCGGAGGCACAGCACTCCTGGGATCATCCTCAGTATCTGCCCCCACCCTCATACACAGAGTTCCAAGGGGCTAGGGCCACAGTGACAGACTGTGTGGCTAGCATGCCCGAGGTCAACCCCCAGCACACAAAAAGAAAAACGAGAAACAATTCCAACTGCTGAGTGTAAGATGGCAGGCTGAGGACATGAAAGGTGCCAAGAAATTAAGGACCAGAAAAGCGTGGATGAGGGGAACAGAAAGAAATGGAGGATGAGCCTCCAGGGTGGGAGTTCAAATCAAGAGCCAAGGAGTCCCCAGAGCGTGGGCGCCATAGCCAGCCTCGGACAGACAGGATGTCCTTGAGGGAGCTGACCCTTGTCCTGGACCCATCCACCTGCAGCAGGAACCGTCCAGAGTGTCCCAATTGGGCCTGCAGCCTATTGTCTTCACAGAGTAGGACCTTGCAGGTCTGTTCTCACCTGTGCAGACACAGAGCTACGCCTTATCAGGAGGCCGCCTTGATATGACCCCTAAGGTGACACATTCAATAAGGCACTGAGCCAGCCTCTGTGACGACCAGAAATGGCCATGGACTCCCTTAGAGGCCAGGAGAGCTCTACTCCAGAAAGAATGGTTTCATCTGCTTTGTAAGGAAAAAATGCTAGGTGGTCAGTTGTGGCCACAGAAGCAATGCCTTGGTGGCCAGAAAGTGGGGTACCTTTGGATCTAGGCTGCTGTGTCGTCCTGGGCACTTCACTTCCCGCTGGGAGCTTCTCTTTCCTGGTATGCAAACAGGAATGAGAATGAAAGATGCCTTAAGAGTCATTCTTGCCAGGAATGGTGGCCATATCTGTGATCCCAGGGACTCAGGAGCCCGAGGCAGGACTGTAAATTCAAAGTCTCAGCAACCCAGTGAGGCCCTGTCTCAAAACAAACTATAAGAAGGGCTGGGGATGTGGCTCAGAGCTTAAGTGCCCCTGGGCTCAATCCCCAGTAACAAAAAACACACACAAAAAAAACAAAAAAACAACAACTTTCAAAGGCCCTGGGTTCCATCTCCAGAACTTCAAAAACAGAAAGGCGAAAAAAAAAAGTCATGTAGATGTGAACACTACATAATCCATACTTCTGCTGAAGTACTTTACAAATGAAAAAGGAGGCTAACAGAGAAAATGGAATGAGAAATGGGAGGGAATATTATAGCCTGAAAAGGCAATGACCCAAATTTGGGGGTGTGTGGCTTTTGGCATCCACCCCAGTCTTCTTCCCTGTGGCCCAGGTTGGCAGTGTACCCCTGAGGTGTCATCCAAGTCTACTGGGACATTCTGTGGTTCGACCTTAGCAGGTGCGCAGTCTCCCTGCCATCTCCCACTTCATACAGTCGGTCTTGGGCATGCTGTCCCAGGTACTTGGGAGGCTGAGGTGGGAAGACGCTGCAGCCAGCCTGGGAAACAGAGCAAGACTCTGTCTCAGAGAAGTAGAGTCAGCCTTAAGGGCTTCCCCTCACAGCAGGCAGGGGCTGAGCCCTCACCTTGTGGCCCATGACATAAGCCGTACACATGGTTGACAACTTACTCAACGGTTTGGATACTGATGCAAGTATTTGCCACAGAGAAAAAAATTGTTGCAGACGGATAATTTTTATTAGAAAAATCACCAAGAAATTTCTTTCCTAACTTGGGACCACTTGATGGATAAATGAACACTAATGCAACAAGGCTTTGTACAGTGGATCTGGGGGATGAGCAGGAGTCCAGGCACCCGCTAAGTAAAGAGTGCACATGAGGGGAGAGGGGCTGAACAGCCTTGCACTTCTTGTACCCACAGGGCTTAGTTCATCCAGGACTATGAAGAACTTGACTTCCCTCTCAAAATTTTACCTATCTTCAAAGCCAGTGCCAGCACTGCTACTTCAGAACAAGCGTTCCTGATTTCCCCAGTCCTCATCCCTTCCTTCCTCTGTGCTGCCCTCACCTCGCTTAGTATCTATGACTTCCTACACTCAGTTAGCACCAACTGTTTCTGTAGCACCGTGTTTGGTGTTGGATCCCACACTTGTCCAGGACCCAACTACTCAGCCAGTCACTGTCCCCTCTATATTTTCTTATCATTGTCCTGTTCCTTTGCCTTTAAACTCCTAGTTTAAGGATAGAGGCCACAACTTAGTCATTTTTTGCCCTGTGTAACTTGTCTAGTCCTTAGCACATAACAGATCAAAGCACTAAACTTAATGGAATTTTTTTATGATGCTGGTGGTGGAACCCATGGCCTCAGATATAATCCTAGCTACTGGGGAGGCTGAGGAAGGAGGATCTCAAGTTCAAGGCAAGCCTGGGCAATTAAGGGAGATCCTATCTCAAAATAAAAGAAAGGCTGGGCATGTTGCTGCATGCCTGTAATCCCAGATACTCAGGAGGCTGAGGCGGAAGGATCACAAATTCAAAGCCAACCTCAGCAATTTAGTGAGGTCCTGGGTAATCAGCAAGATCGTGTCTCAAAATAAAGAGGGTTTGGGGGTGTGGAACAGTGGTAAGGTACCCCTGGATTAAATCCCCAGTACCAAATAAATAAATAAAAATAAAAGAAAAAGAGGCTGGGTGCAGTGGCACACACTTGTAATCCCAGAGGCTTGGAAAGCTGAGGCAGGAGAATCATGAGTTCAAGGTCAGCCTCAGCCTAAGCAACCAGTGAGACCTGGACTCTAAATACAACATAAAAAAGGGCTGGGGATGTTGCTCAGTGGTTAAGGTCCCTTAGGTTCAATCCTGGTCCAAAAAAAGAAAGAAAGAAAAAGAAACAAAGAGAGTAATCTCAGTGGTAGAGCACTTGCCTGGCATATGCAAGGTTCTGGGTGCAATCCCAGCACTGTCAAGAAAGAGAGAGAGAGGGGAAGAGGGAGGGAGGGAGGGGAGAGAGAGAGAGAGAGAGCTTGTGAGCGACCATTTTCTTAAGGTGTATGGTTTCTGAAGTGACTTGGTCTGCCTTGCCTGTCCTGATGAACTGGTAGTCGGCTCTATCAACAGCAGGATTCCAGCTGCCAAACACATCTGGCCCTAGCAACTCCTACTTTTATGTCTACCCCTGCCATTTTTTAAGACAGTGGTCAATGGTGCTTAGTGTGGCCCAGGACCCCTGTGATCTCCAAAGACAAAGCCACTATAATACTGACATATTTGCCTTTTTAATTAAATTGACATTTGTACTGATGCAAAAGTAACAGTGGGTAATGGTGAGTAATTTGGAAGGAATGAAGACTGGTAGCAGGAGTGATGGTCATTGTGTTCCCACTGATACTGCTTTTTCTTTATTTTTTTTTTGCAGTACTGGGGAGGAACCCAGGCAATTGAGCAAGCTAGTGAAGCAGCTCTGAGCTATATCCCCAGCCTTGCCTCTCCTGCCTTTTTTTTTTTTTTTTTTTTAATTTTGTGACAGACTCTTATGTTGCTGAGGCTGGCCTCAAACTTGTGATCCCTCCTGGTCAGCCTCTAGAGTAAACTGGGATTACAAGCAGGAGCCACCACAACTGGCTGCTCATATTAATTTTGGTATCAACCAAATGTGTCAACATTTGGACAATTTGTATAATCCAGTGAATCAATGTTTTGCAAATGACAATACATATGCTGTTACAAATATCACTTGTGAGTAAAATGTCCATCCAAAGATGTTAATGTAATGGAGTCTAAAGTTTATAGACATGGCTTCAGATTCCACATTCCAAGTGATCTTTAAAAGATTACCATCTGTGTGATGCAGCTGGAGTTCTATGGAAAGGCTCAGGCTTAGCATGCTGAAGCCCTGAGCTCATCCGCAGCATCAGAACAAAACCCAAAACAAAACCCAAGGGGCTGTGATATAGGTCTGTGTAGATGGCTTGCCTGGCATGCAGGAGGCTGGGTGTCATCCCCAGCACTCAAACAAACAATCAAACAAACAAACAAAAAAATAGTGCTTATACATTTAGGTGAGATTTCAAAGAATATTCACAATTACTTTAAAAGGCTATTAAAATGATCTTCCCTTTTCAATTAAATGCCAGCAAGGCCAGATTTCCTTCATAACCTTCAGTTATTTCACAAGAGATAAAATGCAGCAGATGCGAGAATGTAGTTTGTCTTCAATGAAACCAAACATTAAAGAGATCCGAATGCAAAACGAAAGCAATCTAAATTTTTATGGAAGATATACTTATTTTTCAAGAAAATTTGCGTAAACCCTTAATAATTTCATTGTATTTTAATAAATTGATGTTTTGAAAATAACTCGTTTAGGGGCTCGCCTAGTATGCGTGAGGCACTGGGTTACATCCTCAGCACCAAATAAAAATAAAATAAAGATATTGTGTTCACCTATAAGTAAAAAAATCTCAAAAAAAAAAAAATCACTGGTTTAACAAAGTTCTCTATTTAAAAACGCCCAGGGCTGTGGGTAGCTCATTGGCGGAGCACTCCCTGTCCCAGCACCGACAACTCGACAGACGAAATTCCAGCCCGCAGTATCGCTGCGCACCATCAGGTCAACAGCCTCTGGGGCCGCGACTTCTGATGGTGCAAAGGGGCCGCGGTAGCCCGAGGCGGGGAGCCCGCCTAGCCCAGGGGCCGCAGCGCTCAGGCCCGCAGCGCCCGCC